CGTGGCAATTGGATCCGGAAAAATAATAAATCCTATGGGACCCACATGTCAGTTTCACACACAAATAAAAATGGTGGGGCCCACATGTCATTCTAACCCCTCCTCTTCTTCCTCCTCTCCCGATCTGCCCTCTCTTCTTTCCTCTCCTCTCTTCAGGCGCGCCGAGAGGGAGAAGGGCGGTGGCCGCTGGACGGCGGGAAGAAGAGCACGACACGGCAGCAATAGAGCGGGGAGCCCGGCGAGCGCACGCGGAGAGGGAGAAGGCGGGGAGAAGCACGGGGGGCGACAGCCATCGGCGCGTGGAGGCGGTTGAGGAGCGGCGCGTGGTGGCGGTTGAGGAGCGGCGCGTGGTGGCCGATGGCAGAAGGAGCTTTGTGCGGTGGCAAACGGGAGACGGGAGAGGAGGGAGCGGCGGTCGGAGCTGCACGACCTCGGCCCCGCCGCCGCTGACTCCTGCTGCGCCGCTGCATCGATTTGCACGAGTTGGCGACGTGCGACGGCGAGCTCGCAGTCGCGGGACACGAAGGAGGAGGAAGGGATCCCTCTCCTCGTCGTCCGCTGGCCACACCCCGTCGCGCCGCTGCTCTTCGCCTCCGCCTTCTCCTCTCCCGGCAGCCGGCGACGTAGTTGTGCAGCCCTGCCGCGGCGACCCCGGGCACGGCGGAGTTCGCCGAAGCTGCTTCGGCGACGTTGACCGCCCCGAGCACCGTCGTGGTCCGCGTCCCCCCCTGCGCAGCCCGACCACATACCCCGCCGCTCTCGCCACCGGCGGCAACGCCTCCACCAACGGCTGCACCCCCGCCACTTCCCTCCTGCCCCGACGACACCGCCGCGCACACCACCCCCACCCTTCTCCTCATCCTCCCCCGTAGCGACGAGGCGGAGGACAAGGATGACGATGCCGCGGCGGCGGCAGCGGCAGCGTCGCGAGGCGAGGGGTTCGCGGAGGCAAGGAAGAGGTCCCTGATGACTCATTTGTTCCGCCGGCGCTGGCCACACCATCCTGAGCCACATGCCTCGCGGAGCTCGAGGAGGAGCATGCTCGGGACGCGCTTGCGGCGGAGGTGGGTTCCCAGCGGCGGCGTGCTGCTGGAAGAAAGAAGGAGGGACTAGGGAGGATGAGGAAGAAGAGAGAGAGGAGAGAGGGGATATAGAGAAGAGGAAGGAGCGAGGATGACATGTGGGCCACATGGCCCCACCATTTTTTATTTCCTGTGTAGCTGACATGTGGGTCCCACTGTTTTATTTATTTTTCCAGCGTCGAATTGCCACGTAAGCGCCACGTCAATGCCACGTGGGATGAGGAACTAGTCAAAGGAGCCACGTATGCACCACGACAACCAAAACCGGACACAAATACTGCCTAGGGACCTTATTTGCACGGTTTCGTAAGTTGGGCGATGAGTTGTACCTTGTTCTGCGCTCAGGGACGAATTTCGAACTCAGCAACAAATTGAGGGACCGCAGGTGAACTTGTTCCATCCGCCGCTCGCCATCCCCAATTCCCAGTGTCTCTCGCCATCCCCATTTCCCCCACATCGTCGGACGTTGCCGTCCGCCTCCACCGCAACGGCGTCTCCTGCTGCTGCTGCGGCCGCCGGCGACGGATCTCCTCCGCTTCTCCGAGGTACGGCATTCTGTCGCAGTGCGCCTTGAAGAAAGTGATTGGTGTTTTAGATTGTTTTCCCGTGATCCTCGCTAGGTATTAGCGAGTTTTTTTTTTTTTGGATGCGTCGTCAGGTCTGATTAATCTGCTATTTTTACAACGAATACAAGGGCGCCTTCTTCCTTTGTTCCAGCGCTTTTGGAACGCCTAGATATCAGGAAATTAATTCGTTAATGCTCTGTCATCCGGGGATGCATGCCATTGTTGACGATTGCAAACATACGTGATTGTGTGATTTATGGGAAAATTTACTGGTTTCTGTTCAATCAGAACTTCACCAGAATTTTGGCTTAACCTCTCCTTCACTCTGCTCCCATTACCCCCACACTTGCCTTCTTCTGCAAATTTATCATCCCAAAATCTTTCGAATGTTATATACCAAGTACAGTAATGAGGGAGATTTACAATTACAACAGAGTACTTGTGTACTGAACTGCAAACTGCATAAACTTTCCTTTGTGCATCACAGTAATTGATCAGGACGATTAATCGCGATTAGTTGGACGATCAGATAATGCTGCAGCATGGTGAAGTTGCTGAATAACATGAAAGGAAATCTTTCCATCATAACACGTGAAAGTGACTCTCTCCTCCTAGGTGGGAGGTGTCGTTCGAATCAAGGACGCACCAAAGGTGAGCTAAAAAGGTCGCCACAACAGGACATGCCTATGCTGGAGATAGATTTGAATGTCATTGCATGCCGAGGTTGAAGATGGTGGGGGTTAGTTCACAACTAATTCCAAAAAGTGGGAGGTTATGCCCTTTAGCTCATTGGAAATACCCATCCGGTCACAAGTATATGTGGATTACAACATGAGCATGGTCCTCGGAATATAATATTGTGACCGCTAATTTATATTGCAAATTTATTTTTAGTACCCTACAGAACTATAATACTATGATTTTTTTTAGATAAATCTACACTTACGATTTTGATGTATTCAATCTAAATACTTCAAATGATTTTTCCGAAGAGCGACTCCTAGTGTATTAATATATTTAAGAAATTATAATATGCAAGGCTATTAAAAAATAAAATCACGGCAAGCTAGTTAGCTACTCCCTCTGTTTTAGATTATAAGACGTCTTTGACTTTGGTCAAAGTCAAACTATTTTAAGGTTGACTAGGTCCATAGACAAATATATATAGTAATATTTATAATATTAAATTAGTTTCATCAAATTAATAATTGAATATATTTTATAATAAATTTTTATTGGGTTGAAAATGTTACTACTTTTTTCTATAAATTTGGTCAAACTTTAATCGGTTTGATTTCGATCAAAGTAAAAACGTATTATAACCTGTAACGGAGGGAGTGGTTCTCAATAATCAGAAATTACTCTGCTTGCACTCTACGGATAATCATGGAAAATTCCTTGAAAAGATATTTCCATGCTTGAAAGAATGGCTCATCAATCCCATTGGAAATCTTGCCATTCTGAACCAACCAAATAAACCATATGACCATAATAACCACCTTGTCATAACAGTTGCTGTTTAATCTTTGCGTGTGGCTAATGTAAATGTTTTAAGGAGAATTAAAAAATGACTGAAATGGAGGACAGTATATCTGACGTTGAGATAGAGGAACTGGGTAATTCAATGAAGGATGAACTGAGAAATTACTTGTCATTGAATATTGAGCGCCATCCTCCCTCTGTGCATCTCTATTCACGGCCATTGGAGCATGGTGAGGAGGACGGCAACGGCAACGAGCACGGGCAGCACCCCCTAATCCTCCACTTCGTGCCTGCCACGAGCTTGAGCTCGCCAGCCCGTTGGCGGGAAGCCCGGCTTTGCGCGCCACAGCTCCGCTCGCTCGGCTCCACCGGCCTACTCACCCCGCCGCCGCCAGCTCTCCACCCGCTCGGCTCCGCTGGTCTGCTCCACCCGCCTACTGGTTTCGCTCGCCGCCACCCACTCGGCTCCGCTGGTCTCCTCCACCCGCCTGCCGGTTTCGCTCGCCGTCGCCCGCTCGGCTCCGCTGGACTGCTCTGTCCACCGCCGCCACTAATAAGGACACAACTAGCTCAGATATAACCATGACTACCTTATGTATTAATCAACCAAAGGTGTATATATTCTATATTAGTTTTACTTGTTATATATTTGAACAAACGTTGCTACACAAATGAGTTTTGTATGTTTTCGTTTACAGAGGTACTTGCTTGGGCGAAAGAAAAGAGACCGTGCGTAAGGAATACATGGATGATTAAAGAAATTGATTAGAGACCAAACCAAGACCTTCTCCAAGTCTACTTCTACCTCACCATGTTACTTTTGGTTCATAGAAGACAAGAGATAAAGTTCTATACGTTTTGGATTAGGATTCGGGCCTCCTGACAGCATCAACTTCAAACGGACCTAGCCGCTCATCTAGAAGGAATTTCGATCGTGGCCCATGAGTACTTGTTGGAAAGCTTATGGAGTCCACTTTCATATGGTTTTGGTCCCACGTCAAAATTCCTACCGAGCTGTTGGGAATCTGCAAAATAAGTCATGTACCTCATCCAGTCTGAATCTGATTTGAGTTTTGGGCCTTGTAATTGTGTCGTGGGCTTAGCCCATAGGGGTGTGCGCCCTAGGACAACCCTAGGACGTCCCTAATAATATTTATTCAGTAACCGTCATTGTTTGGAGTGGAGTTTTGCTTAGATTAATCTGTCAAGAACAGTTTCGCCGCTAGATCGGTTTGTGAAACCCCAAATTCGAGTGCTTAATCATTCATATGCAATTGTTTTGCAATCTATGTTATTCTTGCTTGTGTTCTTCGATTCGCATGCAGGGATTAGCCTTCTCGGCGAGGTCAACTGGGTTTCGGCACGGTTGATAAACAGAGGAGACGTGGTGTTGCGATTGTGGGGCTCAAGAGCGTGTTCGTTCAAAAGCCGAATCGAGTTGTGTCTCGACTCCGCCCAAATCGACTATTTATCAATACCTATCGGAAGATCGGGACCTAACATCCTCATCAGCCACTCCACCCGTTTGCCGGCTTTGCCCGCACGTCACCCCACCTGCTCCGCTCCGCCTCCTAGCGAAGTGGCGAGTTGGCATGGGTGAGAGAAGACGGGAATGTGATGGTGACATGTGGGACCATGTGGGCCCCACTATCTATTATTATTTTGTATGTGTAACTGACATGTAGGTTCTATGGTTTTAATTACTTTTCCAGGTTAAATTGACATGTAAGTGCTACGTCAATGCCACGTGACACGAAAACTTAGTTAAAAGGAGCCACTTAGTCGTTACATCAGCCAAAACCCGGTCATGTCGGGTCCCTTGTCACGCGGCCCGGCTAACCCGGCCCAAAGGAGCCCAAAGTCTCCCACCACATTGATCCCTCCGACGCTGTCGTCCACCGCATTCCACTACCCTCACCCCATCTTCGATCACCTTCCGCCTCCCGGATTCTCCGGACACCGGCGACCACTTCCCACCGGCGTATTTTTCCTCCCGCGGCCGCTGGAGCTCGCTCCGTGTCCCGAGGTACGGCATTCTGTCGGATCTCACCGTGAACAAAGTAAAATAATCGATCAACTTTTCGTGGATCTATTCTCGTTCGTACGAGGTAGTAATGTTTTAGGGTTATTCACTTGTTTTGTTTCCCTCGGCTATTGTTGTTATCTTTCGGATGCGTTGCAACTAGCCTCCACTCTACAATTTTCGCAACGGCAAGCTCGTCTTCTTCTTCACTCTTGGAAAATTTTTACTAGCTTATGTTCAATGTGCCAGGCCAGGGTTCAGAATCTCTCCTTCAAGCTATACCTCCACTTGTTTGTAATCCGGGCTTCTTCCATTACATTGATTTTACTAATGTAATGATTCTCTTTTCTAAAATGTAAGGCATGAGCTCTGTCGATCAGTTAAGAAGGAAATGTAAAGGCTTTTAGGAGAGGTAGAAAATGACTGAAATGGAAGACGGTATATCTGATGTTGAGATAGAGGAGCTGGGTAACTCAATGAAGGATAAACTGAAAAAATACATGTCATTGGATACTGTGCATGCTGATGGATCTGAGTTCTGCTTGATTCCAAGAATCCATGAGCATATCCGTATGATAGACAGAGATTCTTATGAACCACTAATTTTGTCGATTGGCCCATATCACAATGGGTCTTCAGCACTTTCTTTCATGGAGAGAAAAAAATGGAACTGCTTGGACTATATCCTTAAGTTAAGCTGTCAAAAAGGTCTGAAAGATTACTTGACCATCATAAACAGACTAGAAAAACGAGCAAGGTCATGCTATTCTGGAGATATTAAAATGAATAAGAGAAAGTTCTTGCAGACTCTCTTGCTTGATGGATGCTTTGTACTTGTCTCTCTAAGTCAATACAATGAATTTTTGTGGCCTGATTCCCTCAGATATATACCTTCTCCTTCGAATGACAAAACATTTGAGGGAGCTTTGAGTTTTGGGGATCATCAGAAAGTAACTGGGAGAAATGAAAGTCAACAAGTAAACAAGGGGAAGCAGAGTGCGATGAAGAACACTCAATTGGATCATGACAGGCACTCTATGGAAGAATATTCAATCTCTGATATTGAGTTATCTTCGGAAATCAGTGGCCAGTATCAGGACCCCAGCCAGCAGATTGGACAGTGGTATGGCATGTTTGTTCCACATGACTTGCTCCTGTTAGAGAACCAAATTTCACTTTTTGTAATTCAGGGAATACACGAGATAGTTGTTTCAAAACTTGCAAGTAAATTGACAACTACTACTGCACTAAGAAGGAGTATTGTTCAATGCATTGAACAGTTTGTACCATGTTATCCAAAAGCAATAAGAGAATCCAATCGTCCAAAAGATTTTGATCATTTGTTACACTTATGTCATATGTACGTCAGACCCAGTCCAAACCAGGATGAGCATCATGGTCATACGGGGCACCACATTCGTCATTTTCTTCAGCTAGGATGGGATTATCTACATCTTACTTACAAGCAGGAGGCAGCTAATTTAGGTTCGTCACAGAATGGTCATTTTCCATATCGGTGGCGCCGGGCATCGCAGTATCATGAAGCTGGCATTGAATTTAGGAGGAGAGCATATAGCGAGTCCAATCGCCATTCTCTCCTGGATATAAAGCTCAGAGATGCTGTCTTGGAAATTCCATTTTTGCTTGTGGATGAAAGCACCAGCTTTCTTTTTAGGAACTTTGTAGCGCTGGAGCAAACATGTCCAAAAGTAGGAAACGATGTTACTGCCTATGTTATTTTCATGGCTAAGCTTATGAACATGCCTGATGATGTAGCACTGTTGGCTAGAAAGGGGATCATTGCCCACCATTTGCGCACTGACAGAGATGTATCGCAGCTCTTTACGAAGCTGACGAAAGGTGTGGTATTTGATTTCTATGGGAATTATTACCTCATGCCCCTGTCTTTAGCCTTGGAGGCACATTACCAGAATCGTCTGCACAGGTGGATTGCATGGTTGAAGCACAACCATCTTAGTAACCCTTGGCTGGCCGTGGCAGGGTTGGCTGGTGTTATCGTGCTTTTCTGCACTGTTGCACAGACTGTCCTTACTGTCTTGTCTTATGTTGATCCCAGGTAAATACTCAGTGGCCAACAGTCTGTCTGACTCAAAGATTACAGGTAAAATTAGATGTACCTGGTACCATGTCTTATTTATATCCACTTGAGTTCCAACAGAAGGAATAAGGCCTGGAACAGACTTTTCTTAACTTGTGTATTCTATCCGTAGGACATGGAATAAAAGGTCTGCTTTAACTCAGTAGTTGCAATTACCATCAAGAATCAGTTCTCCTAAATGTGGAGAAACACAAACACACATTCCCCTTTCTTGACAACACATGGAAACTGTGTTGGTAGTTTTTGAGACACTAAATAAAATCTGCACACTTGGAGGAAACATGAATGCACTTTCAAGAGTGCAACTACTCTACAATGTGACCATGTGATCTATGATGCTTCGGTATGTCCAGATTCAAGAATGTTCACCTTGATTAGTTTTCGTTTATGAGGCTACTTCTGTCAGAAATGTTGAATATTTTGTTATTTAACGTAGCAATTTTAAATATTCTTAATTTTTTTTTCTAGACTAAGAGCTTTCCTCTTTATTAACCAAGTGAATTACTATCGATATGCTGTCATTGCAGCAAGAATGCTGGCACCTGAAACAGGCACGTGCTACAGTGATAGTTTTGTGCATTAAATTTGCACCTACGTTAGCTATCTGTTTTATAGACAACTTAAATTGAAGAGGATGTCAGACTCAGCTCTTGGATTTCATTCAGGGAATCATGGTTGTTGCTCTCTCTGAATGTTGACTGCCCTCAATCTCCACAGATTGACAGGTTCCTATCCTGGGAGTCAGTCTCTTCTATCGTTGTTTCATCAATCTATTCAGTTCCTTCTTGATTCCACAAGGTGCTTTTGACAAGGAAGGGTATCCTGAGCTGCTTCACTTTCATGCATTCAATTTAGTGAATCCATTTGGTGCCTATAGCCAGGTTAGTGAATAGCTACCCAGATACACTTCTTTGAAACATGAATCCAATGAGAAGTTGTATATCTCAGCCATGGAATGGCCTGTGATAATTTAAACAAAATATTTCTATGCTTTCTTTCCCTCCTAGAAGACCAGAGGGACACATCACACATAAGATGGCTGCCACATATCAACTGCCCAGGTATGCATGATATGTGGTCTTACCTCAGCCCCACAGTTATCGTAAAAAACAATTTTTACATGCTGTTTTTTCATATTACAACCCCCATTCTTCTTTTGAGCGAAATATCTCCATTCGGCTTAACTTGATGTTTTTAAAATAACTTTTTATGGTCTTCAAGATGCAACTTCAGCCATTACCTTCCTTTTTTCTTAAATACGCAGGAGATCTGCATATTTTTATATTAAGAAGAAAGAAAAGCCATAACCTTCCTTACCTTGGTGAAACTGGAGAGAACTTTCCAGACTGGGTTACTGCACTCGTCCACGATGGGGCTCAACATCCTGATATGCCCTCTGATAACTGGTGCTATGCAGGTAGAACCGCATCTCATCAGGCCAGTCCACAAAATCTTATTCTGAATTTCCAATTGAAGTCCTAGAAACCATCGCAATAATTTTCTTGTTTTCCAAACACACGTATCCATATACTTTCTATGCTTTTCTTTTTATTTCTTGTTTGTTTTCCTAGGTTTTGATTTCCCATATTTCAAACAGGGCCTATTATGACATGTTGGGAAATTAGGGAGCTATTGCTCTATGGCCCCAGCTTGAGATTTTGATTCTCGTTCCCCACATGCTGCATGATGTTCATTTAATGCTAAACAATTCATTGCTCGTTGGGACATGGAAATGGGGCTTCTCCTTTACCAATTCAATGACATTAAGCTACCACCTAGGTAACAAGTTCTATTGGGTATAAATTGTGAAGAAGAACAACTCCCAGCACTCATAGCAACAATGAAGAACACAGTCGCTCTCGTCTTGGCAGTGTTGTTTCTACTCATCGCTGATCTGATGATCGCTTCTGCTCTTGGGAGAGATGTTCTAGACCTCCCGGAGGACAGCAATATCAGTAAGCGTCACATAAAAAGGAGCCATTCTGGATCTAGCATGAACGGTACGTCAATTCATAGAGACTTGCTTACGGCTTGCCCAACCTGCGTTGTTCTGTTTTGCTAAATTATGTTCCCTGTGCAAACGTACTTTGCCTCTTTCTCAGGACAGAAGCCCGGTTTCTCAGAAGACAAGGGCTTTGTTCTTCTGAAACCGACTACTCGTCCTATTTATCTTCCACCTTGCGCTTCAACGGCCTCGCTACACCCAAGCAGGGGCACCAAGAGAGAGAAGCTTTGTTAAAGAGAGCCAATTAAAAGTAAAATAGTGCCATGCCTTCTGAAAAAAATATACTGCTGTCTGATTCGGTGATTCGGAAATAAAGGTTGTGTCGGTGTGGATCTTATGATTGCTATTTTTCGTATGAAGCTGCACCCTGATAACACATCCGTTCCAAAATATAGCTATCTAGAACTAGATTTGGCACCATAGTATACGCTAAACAAGTATGTATTATCTGTATACGTTTCTTTGTATTATGTAAGTACATTTCCAATAAGAACCTATTTAGTTTAGGGGACACTCAACAGGCGTGTATTATCTAAAAGAACAGGTGTGTGCATGGTATGACTTTCTGTGTTAGGAGACACGGTGTTTTTGTGATGTGTATGTGTATTGTTGCATGTCTTCCATGTCATGAGAAAAAAAGAATGCTACTCTTTTGTTTCATAACATAACAATCTAGTTTTTGTTTAGATATCGTCTAATCTTAATATAACAATCTAGTACTTAATTAGATATCACCTAATCTTTGAATCTTGATTGGAGTTTAAAATATTTTTGAACAGGGGAGTGCTATGTTAGCTGGGCATATTTGAACCATCTGAACATGTTGCAGTTTGTTAACAGCCAATGTCCAATCGTTTTCTCTTTTGTTACACGTTTTTTTTGAAGAATACAGCATGCTGGTTTTATATTATAGATGAGGGAAAAACTGTACAAGAACAGAGGAGCAGGAAAGGCATTGCTTGAAGCCAAGAATGTCTCTTGCCTACACAGAAACTATGAAAAGCATAATCTCCTGACTGCACTCCTTTGGCACCCGCCAATTTCCACAATTGAAGCTCATCTATAATCTTGCTTGCAAGTGCCGATGGCATGGATTCGACGCCTCTAAAGATGCTGTTGTTTCTTTCCATCCAAATCTCCCAAAGCGAGGTTAGGAAACCCCCTTTTTTTGCATTTTCTCTACTCCTTTTGTCTACTCATGCCAGCAGTTTAGCATGGTATCATCAATGTTCGCGTTGAGAAAACGTTGCGGTCTGATTTTGTGACCTATTTCCTGCCACACCCGATGTGTGAAGGGGCATTCCTTGAAGAGGTGCTGCACAGTTTCTAGATTCCTAAAACAAAGCTAGCAAAAATAGTTATTTGGCTAACCTTTGCATTGTAAGGCCATTCACAGTGCGTCACCAATTTTTGAGGAGCCAAAACTGCCACCTAGACTAAGAACTTCGTGAGCAACATCCTCCACAGTGCATGTGGTCTACTTTTTTCTTCACAGTGGGTCCCACCCGTTCTCTCTCCTCACTTGTTATCTCTCCCCTCTCTCTCTCTCTGCCTTTCCCCACATCCCATGAACCGCTCCCCCTCCTCCTTCAGTCATTGCGCCGCCAGCGCCCCTCTCTCTCCCACCCACCGCCGGCGCCCCTCTCCCCCTCCACCGCTCTCCCTACCACACCGCGTCGAGGTGGATCTGGAAGGCGGTGGCTCGGGGCGTCCTTCTCGGCGACGGCGCCCGGGCAAAGAGTTGGCCGAAGCGGCGACGACGCCGGACGGAGCGGTGACGGCGCTGGGCGGAGCGGTGACGGCGCTAGGCGGAGCAGCAGCAGGGCGACCGGATCTAGCCCGGGGCAGTTCCCCTTCCCCACCATCGCCGGCGCAGCTCCCCTTTCCCGACCGCCGCGACAGCTCTCCCTGCTTCCACCTCTCCTCGTGGGGGCGGAAGCTGTGGATGACGGCGGCGCAGCGGCGGCGAGGCGCCGAGCAGAGCGGCAGTGGAACGGTGGTGGCGCCGAGCTGCGGATCTCGGTCGCCCTCTCCTCCCTCATGTCTTCCTCTCCCTCTCCGTCGCCCTCTCCTCCCCTAATAACGACGGCGTAGATCGGGATGGGTCGCCGCCACCACCCCGACGAGCTCGGCGCTGTGGTGCCTCCCTTCCTGTCCTCTCTCTCTGTTTCTTGATGGCGTAGGAAACAATGTTGTGGGCCCAGACGCAATTCTGACGAAGAACGGGGAGCCAACTTAGGTGGTGTTTGGATCCAGGGACTTAACTTTAGTCCCTGTCTTTAGACACTAATTTAGAGTATTAAATATAGACTACTTAGAAAACTAATTACATAAATGAAAGCTAATTCACGAGACAATTTTTTTAAGCCTAATTAATCTATAATTAGAGAATGTTTACTGTAGCATCACATAGGCTAATCATGGATTAGTTAGGCTCAATAGATTCGTCTCGCGAATTAGTCCAAGATTATGGATGAGTTTTATTAATAGTCTACGTTTAATATTTATAATTAATATTCAAACATCCGATGTGATAGGGACTTAAAAGTTTTAGTCCCATCTAAACAGGGCCTTAGGCTCCGAGTTCCTGGCAGGAGTATGACAGTGGCAAACGTGGCGGCTCAAATCCGTGTTGGCGTGTCGAGGCTGAACGCCATGGCGATGCATTGTGAATGGCCTAAGCGGTCTGCTGTCCATATTCTATTTTGAACAAGAAGCCAAGCGAAGAACTTGTGTTTCTCCGGTGCCCAAGTCTTCCATACGAGGCCCGCTGATTCCGATCTTGTTTTTCCCATAATTGCATGATATACACAGAGCTTGCCGTGTACGAGCCGCTGGCCGACCATCTCCATTGGATTGTATCCTCAGTCCCTTCCTAGATCACGGTCCCGTGTTGCTAAGTACTTCCCAAACGCTTATGTATTCCTGAAGCAGTTGGAGTGTCATTCCAAACGTTGTTTGTTATTGCTTCAAAAACTGATCTCTTACACGTATCGTTGCACCACTCATTCTAGTCCAATGCTGCACGCACACCACCGCACCTCATATTAGGCACACAAGTTTGCCTACTTGAGGATAAAAACGGTCAAAAACGTTTGGAATCGATAAAATCTATTTCAAAACGACATTTGATAAGTTGGTAATTGATCATATTTGTTAATTTAACTATTCAGTTTTGATATAAATACAACACTAAAAAAGTTAAGTTTTATGCGTGACAAAAAGGTAATGGTAGAAAATGGTTCCACTTATATTTTCTGTTACCATTTTCATACACACGGTATTCTAGAACCTTTTATCCCACTTCTTTTTTTTATTAGGTAAATTATAGACCAAATGTAGATTTTTTTTCTACCTCGTTGTTTTCAGGGTTAAGTTCGATTAACCCTAGTTTTTGGTCGGTAAAAAGTTACAAACCCATGGGCCAACCCATTTACATCACTACTTTATATATGCGAATGCGTCCCTATACACTTCCTTGAAACAAAAAATGCGTGTGTGCATTGTGCATACATCTGCTGATCTGCATACTACTCATTCAGTTGTCACTTAGGGGAAAAGAAACGCGTTGTTACGTCATCAATTCCTCAGTCTTCCAACCTGGATTTTTTTTTACCTTTTATTCCTTTAAACTTATTCTACCAATAGATCCCTTAAAAATATTTATTCTAGAAATGATCCCTTTTCGCATCGGCTACGTCATTGGCGTCGTGATCCAATATGACGGCACCAATGACTTTGACGCCATCCCCATTGCCCTTCGGTGGAGCTAAGCCACTAATGTGAACGGGGACGACACTAGTATCTTTGACGCTGAGGACCTATTTCCAAAAAAACTCAAAAAGAACCAATTTGTAACATAAAAGGATATAGTTGTAATAAAAAAATTACAAATAGGTCCTGTTTTGTAATTTTTTTTATTACAAATAAGTCCCCTTTTCAAAAAATTATAAATAGCTCATCGGCGCCAATGATATTGGCGTCGTCCCCTTCATATTAGTGAATTAGTTTTCACCGAGGAGCAATGGGGACGGCGCCAATGACATTGGTGTGTCGAAAAGAATATATTTATAGAATAATATTTGTAGAGATATATTCCTAGAATAAGTTTTTTTAGAGGTATATTCCTAGAATAGAATCCAAAAACATTAAAAGGTGAAAATGCAGGTCTTCGGGAGACTCAGGCCTCAGCATGAGAGATTGGTGGCTCGATGCGAGTATCCCGTTCCGGATCAGCTACCAGAAATCCTTCGACGCACTTTGCTGAGGAAAGGAAAGGAACAAGGTGTTTTTACCAGAAGTCGCGCACAGCAGGACAGCCTTTTGGGATATCAAAGATGACATTCTGGACGGAAGCAGCTAGTGTTTGGACGTGTCCTCCATTGCTCTATTCCACCGATTGACCTGCAGGGGTGAAATAAACTCACTAATCGTCGATGCAGCATGTTTTCCTCCCATCCAAAACAGAAGAGTTTTTGGCCAATATCAGATATAGAATTTTCGGCTGGAGATTTACAAACATACTTCAATAATTATTTTCTCTTAAAGTGTGTTTGTTAGAAGCCAGTCTTTATGGGTCGCCTGAATGTTTACTCTCTTTTGAGAGAATTATGCAATAAGTGGCTATAGTTTTCTTGAAACAAAAGCTATCATTTATTCCATTATCATGATGTTGTTCATTCTCTAGCTTCCGACCAGGTTTTGGGTACATATACGACAGAGATGTAGCTGATGGTAAAAAGTTGGCTTATTCGCCTCAGTGATTACTTCAAGTAAATGCTAAAGAATCTCTTCCATGAATTCAGAGATATCAGTGGTAATGTACGGCATAACATGATTACATGAGATGAGTTGATAAATTATCCTGATAAAGAAGAGAATATGAAAATGCACTTTGATTTGTTACACCAGATTGCTAGGGCTGTAGAAGGAAGGGACTTGTGCCCTGCTGATCAGACCAACGATTAAAAGTACGGGAACCGAGTTCTTTCACTAACTTTCCCACTCACCTTCCACGTATTCCACGCGTATGCTTTTCAAATTGATAAAAGGTTTTTTTTTGCAAAAAAAAAATTATACGAAAGTTTCTTTAAAACATCATATTAATCTATTTTTCAAAAAAAAAATACTTAGGGATAACAAAATGTGTCGCTTCGTTTTACGTACGGTGGAGGTGAGCGAACCCACCCTAAGGATCACTACTCTCCCTGTAGATTTTTACAAGGTGTATTTTGATTTGAAAAGGTCAACTTCTTTTGGATTTTGAGCAACAATTAGTCAATTTAATGTACCAAAATTATACCAATATATTAACATCTCAAAATACTTTAACAAAATGTTGGTTTTAAAGGTATCAACAATATATTTATGAGAAATCAATGGCCAAAGCGTGATCCTTTAGACTTTTTAAAAATAAAATACGGCCTATAAAAATCGAGGAGGTAGTAATATATTACACCGGGGACTGGATTACAATGGGGATGAGGGTATCACATGGAGTGTAAGAATACTAATCAACATGAGGAAACGAAAATCAATAATTTATCTGTGTCTAATCGCCATGTAGTCCCCTTGTTTTTGCACTTACCAGGTCTCCGAAGAGGTCATTAAACTGCATCTATATATCAATTTGGCATCATTAGTATATGAAAAATATTAGGAAGTATTTAGTGACATATAAATATAAGGAATTGCACGTTTTCTTAACCTAAAAATGAATAACAGTGTATCTATTACAACAACATTTGAAAACAATGTATTACCATAACAGGGTGTGATCTTAATCCTAGCACCTAACTAGCTCTTAATAGAAGTTGTTGAGCAATTCTACGGTTCTTGAGGAGATACCATGAGGTACCAAAAATTTAGTGTAAAATTTAGTACCTCTTGGTATCTAGGTAGAGGTACCTAGGTAGGTACTATGAGGTACCAAATTTATAATAAAAAAAGTGGTACCTCATGGTACTGTTGACAGAAAACACGAGGCCTGGGAGATCTGCTTAACTCCAGTGCAGGTCCAAAGCTTGCCTTCGAATGTATGAGCGTGCCAGTTGATTTGATCCTATAATCAACAAGAAATAGAGACAAAGAATTCGTGGTTAAATCTATAAATGATAGCCGATCGGCTAGGTGCCGATGAAATATCATTTATCTTTGAGCCGATGTCATCTATGAATCGATCGGCGGTTATAAATAGATAGTAAGGAACTAAATCTATTCGATCGGCTGTAGATATTAACGATATATAGTTCTTATATTAATATATACTTTAATCAAGTGATTGGGATAGATCGGTCATCATGCCGAGATAGTATAAATCACTTAGATCGAAATATATATTAATAACAGGATTATATATGTTTATAGCATAGCCGATCGGATAGATCTAGCATGTATCGGTTAATACTCCGATACTACTTTATATAAAGATATCAAACCAAATATAATATACCAAACAAAAGCTTAATATACTTAAATACAATAAGATCCTGACATAAAGGGCGGATTTAACATGTCATTGAAGCATATAGATCGAATATGGTTAAATCAGATAAGATCGGCTGAAACTCCGATACTACCCTAATCGGCAATCAGAGGACATGCTAGAGATTGATATTCTAAGCACGACTTAATAGATCAAACTCAACTGATGCAGCATTAGGTATGAAAAGAAGAACAATATCTAGACAATCAAGCCGCTGGGTGTTTCATAAAGTGGTAGATATCTTATATGATCTAGGACAACGTCGCTATTTAACATAATCGGCTGCCTTCTATTAACAGATGTTAGCCGATTGTAAATTAGATGATGATATTGCCAAGGATTATGTAAGATATATGACAACTTGACGAATTATATAGACAAGATTAGAGTGTCATAAAGATGGAAGCACTAATCTCGAGAACACAAGTCGTCATAACAAGTTTTACCTCTTGTTGAAGATCGAAACCGATGCAGCTCAACCCGAAAGCAAGAACTCGTCGAAACAAAACTAAAGCAAAAAGGTGGCGATGCGCCGAAATTGTATTGAACGTGTGTGTTAAAAATACATAGGGCTCGGGGTCTATTTATACCCGAGAATTACAAGATATGTCCATACCGGACACGACCACTATCTCTAACAAACTCTAAGATACCATAAGTCTTTGCGGCAGACTTTTGCCCAAACATATCTCTAAGGAAGTTACATAAAACATCCTAATTAATAGATACAATTGCCTTATCAGGACTCTATCCATGTGCGGCAATCATCTTGAAGCACCTCAATTCAACCCAATGTCATATACCAAATTATACTGTCGGAATCGGCTGCATCGGCCTACCTAGCCCGACTTAGACCCAGCCGATCCTAATCGTAGCCGATCTGGACTTCAGCCGATTCTTGCTCTGTTCTCGAATCAATCTCCGCCTTCGACTCCACCTCGATCTAGACTCCTCTTCCGATGCTGATATTACCAAATTTGGTCATTAACAGGTACTACTCGAGGACGCGTTGATAAAAAAAAAAGCGGTGCTGAGATGTAATGTGGAACTCTATGACATCCTTAGGTGGGACGATATTCCCCCAGGGGTGGAGGTTTTGGTGAGCAGTGATATCACTGGGTCTATGAGGTAATGGAATCATTCCATATAAAAAAAAAAAAAAGCGGTGCGAAGGCGGGATGCACCTGAAACATACTCTTTTGCTTTATCTAGGTTTATGCTGTGTACGATAAGAAAGCAAGAACAGTTTGCAAAATACTGCATAATACTATGAAAGCGGAAGTTATTGCAGCAAAACCTAACCACGGATTGCTGAAATGATTGTGCCACAGCCATGCATTCCACCTATTTAGACGACTTTGGTAATGTGCTTCCATGGCACAATATAAGGATTTCAGGTAGTGTTCACCTCTAAAGTCAAATGCCACATACTCAAAAAGTTTGGTGAAGAGAGTCGACACTTCCTCATCGCTTTCCATCTGATGGACTATTATCCCTTTCTGTGCAAGAAGTGCAACATCAGCAGCTGTACTGACAAATTCAGACATGAGCACAATGTAAGCAGTGATGTCGTCGCTGACTTGAGGACATGTTTGCTCAAGAGCAACAAGATTTCTGAAAAGCAAAGAAGATTTATCATCGATTGGCAAACATGGTATTTCCATGACTCCTTTCCTGAATCTAATGTCCAACAAAGAATGAGGGTCTTCTTCATGAAAGTCCCGTTTCTTGAATTCTATTCCTGCCTCATGATAGTCCACTGCTCTACGCCACCGATAAACATGCTCTGGTGAATTCAACTTGCTTAATTCATATAACATGTTTTGCTCCTGTCCAACACAGAAGACCTTTTGGCCAAAATCAGATATATAGTCAAAGTAGTGAGACTTTCCAGCATGACCATGATGCTGTTTATCCTCCACCTTGTGACCAGGCTTCAGGTACATACGGCACAGATGTAGCAGATGGTAAAAGTCTACTGGCCTATTCTCCTCAGTGATTGCTTTTGGGAAATGGTAAAGAATGCCTTCCATGAATTCAGAAATATCACTTGTAAGTAATGGTGTAGTCGCCATGGTATCACGAGAGAACAGCTGATAAATGGCCCTAATAACGAAGAAGGGAATTTGATTCTCCAGCAGCAGTAGGTCATACACAGCAGAACTATTATACCATCAACAGTATCACTATCTTCTTGGATCCCATGACCATCAACAGAAGCTTCATGTGTGTCTTTAGCCCTGCAAATCCCTTGCATACCTCCAAGATAAACAAGAATGAAGCAGCTATCCAGCAGAAGCATCTGCAAGAACTCCTTACTGTCCATGTCTATGTCCTCACTGTAACAGCCTCTTACCTGTTTCTCCAGCCCAGAAAGCAAGCTCGGGTACTCACGCAAGCTAACATGATGGTTTAGCTTAAGAATGTAGTCTACACATATCCACTTCTCTGTTTCCATGGCAAGCAGAGGCAACTCTGAATGGTGATAAGGGCCAATTGAGAGAACACTTGGTTCATATGCGTTCCTATCATTCTGACGAATTCAGCATACTATTTTGCATATAAGGCAGCATTTGTTTCCATTCCCTCGATACTCATTCAGTGCAATGCGACGATTTAGATCTGCCCTCATGGAACCAGCTAGCTCATCAATGTCAACATCATCAGTATTGTCATATTGTTCAGTCAACATATCTGTTAAGAAATGAAAATCGGTACTTTCAAATAGTGATTAAGAAAACTGCTATCATGAAAAGGTTGGGGAGAAAGAAAATAATCAACCGATAAATTAATTTCTTTTAAATTTCAATGCACTAACAATCTAAAAAATAAGTATTAGATAGCTCAATTTGATGGGAAGACATCTCTTGGGGAAAATTTATGCCCATTGTCATCAGCGTGGATTATACTGACAGAGGAACGCACAAATCACATGAATTAGATCCAATGACTCTGAACCCTGACTAATCTCCTGAGTCCTGAACAATACAAATAAGCCCTGCATGAACAGTAAAACCAAATGCGGTTTTGTCATTTGGCACCTTCAACTGCCGATTCACCGCGCGATTGCCCTACAAGTTATTCCTGTCCGCCTCCAAATACAGGTAGGGGCAGATTCACTATGCTAAAAAATCAAGAACGGAAGAGGAAATATCAGATTCATCAATGCGGCCCATTTTGGCGATCGAACAAAGAAAGAAAATTCCCCACCCACAGAGAGGGGAAAGAACCAACTCACCCTCACCCATCATAGGGCGGCTCGTTCGCGGCGTTGGCGCAACAATAAGAAGGGATCATCACATCAGCACGTCCATCCATCCATCCAGCATTACGAGCGGAAGAAGAAGATCTCCTTGATGAGGAAATTTTGAAGTGCGCGTGGCTAGGGTTAGGGCTGGAAGCGAGTGCAGAAGGAAGAAGAACCTGCATAGCTTGAGGGAATAGGTTCAATTTGACTCCCTTAAAATTGACACGAATCTAATCCGTGGCCCTGAACTACAAAACAAGATATTTTAAGTGACACGAATCTAATCCGTGACCCTGAACTACAAAACCAGATATCTTAACTGCCTAAACTGTTAAAACCGGTGCAATTTGACTCCCTTGGTGGTTTTGGAGGGTGGTTTCGTTGGCGTGGCAGTATTGACCTGGTCTTCCTTCCACGTGGCGCTGACATGGCGGGCATTATAATTTAAAAAATATTATGAGACCCATTTGTCATTCACATAAAAAAAAATTGTTTGACCCTTGACATGCGGGGCCCACGTGTCATCCTCTCTCCTTCCCTCTTTTGTCCTCCCTCTCTCCCTTCTCTCTCCTCTCCCCACGCCGGCATCATGGAGCCCAGCCTAGCCGGTCCTTGCACGCGTAGCTCCAGAAGAGAGTGTAGCAGAAGTACTGCGCCAAGCAGGTGACGCGAAGAAGCACTGCCACGACGAGCATGTGCACGCGGTCGTGCGCCCGCGGCGCGCAATCCTTGCAGTACACCTTGCAGATATCCTCGCGGTCGTCGCTGGTGCTGGGGCGCCACCGGAGGAGCAGCACGAGGTGGTGGAAGATCTTGACGTGCTGGACTGCTGGTACAGGCACGCGATGGTGAAGAGCGTGTTGAGGAACCGGTAGTTGATCACCTCCGTCCACTTCTTCTACTGCTCGTCGTCGGGATGGCAGAGTCGAGCATGCCGGTCATGATGAGCATGAACAGCAGCAGTAGGCCAGCAGCCCGGCGGCGACGAATGCCGACCAAATGATCATGGCAAAGTTCCCTTCACCTTGCCGTGCTCCTCCATGGTTGACATGCTTTTGCGTACATGGTGCGATGCAGATGGCGGTGACGGCGGCGTTGAACGTGTGATGATTTTGGCAGGAAACAATCGCACGTTTCAGTGCGTTGCTTACGCGTTAATATATGATTAGAATAGCCTTCATCGTGGCGATTACAGAAGCCCACGAGATCGGCAACAACCGCGCCAACTCGGGAGAGAAACTAGCATGCGATAACAAATGTAAAGGAAGAGATAAAATCTAATCCTATCTTATCACAACTAAACTGATCATTATCACATGCATAGAGATAGAAACAGACTCAACTAACACCCTCTCTCAATCATAACCTTGCTAGGTTAAGATTGGCTTTAAACTTCTCCAGAAGATTAGTTGACAGTGGTTTAGTAAATCCATCAGCAACTTGACCACCGGAAGAAACAAAATCAATTTCCAACAATTTCTGACTTACCCTTTCTCTGACAAAGTGATAGTCAACTTCTATGTGCTTTGTTCTTGCATGAAACATTGGATTAGCAGATAAATATTTTGCACCAAGATTGTCACACCAAATTTTACCTGCACGGGGACTTTTAATCCCTAACTCAGAAAGCAGAGTCTGCACCCACATAATTTCTGCTGTTGCATTAGCTATCGCCTTATACTCAGACTCAGTACTAGACCTTGACACTGTGGCTTGTTTTCTAGCATTCCATGACACTAGATTTGAGCCAACAAATATAGCAAACCCACCTGTTGACCTTCTGTCATCTATACTTCCAGCCCAATCTGCATTAGAAAATCCACTGACCAGTGTAGACCCTGACTTATGTATATTCAAGCCCATCTTAGTACATTGTTTTATATATCTTAGGATTCTTTTAACAGCTGCCCAATGTACTGTTGTGGGAGTATGAAGGAACTGACAAACTTTGTTAACAGAGGAGGCTATATCAGGCCTAGTGAGAGTTAAATATTGCAAGGCACCAACTATACTTCTATATTGTGTAGCATCATTTGGACCTAAAGGGGACCCTTCATGAACAGAAAATTTTTCACTTACTGACAAAGGAGTAGCTGCTAGTTTACAATTCATCATTCCTACTTTCTTTAGTAAATCAGTAGCATACTTATCTTGTGTCAAAATAATACCATTATGTATCTTGCTTACCTCAATACCAAGAAAGTAGTGTAGTTCTCCAAGATCTTTTAAGGCAAAGTCTGTCTTTAGATCCTGAAGTAAAGCTGCAATTGCCCTCTCTGATGAACTGGCTACAATTATATCATCAACATAAACAAGAACAAAGATAGTGACCTCCCCTTTATTCAGGAAGAACAAGGAAGTGTCTGCCTTTGATCCACTGAACCCAAGTTCAATCAATTTCTGACTCAGTCTAGCAAACCAGGTCCTTGGGGCCAGTTTTAGTCCATACAGGGATTTATCAAGTTTGCATATATAGTGTGGTTTGGTGACATCCTCGAACCCTGGAGGTTGTTGCATATACACCTCCTCTTCTAGATACCCATGAAGAAAAGCATTCTGAACATCCAGTTGTCTAAGACTCCATCCTCTAGACACGACAATGGATAATATTATCCTAATTGTGGCTGCTTTTACTACTGGACTAAAGGTATCCTCATAATCTATACCATACCTTTGTTTGAATCCCTTATCTACTAGACGAGCTTTATATCTATCTAGAGAACCATCAGCCTTTCTTTTAATTTTATACACCCATTTGCACCCGATGACATTGTTCCCTCTCTGAGGTGGAACTAGGTGCCAAGTGTTATTCTTAACTAATGCTTCATATTCTGCATCCATGGCTAATTTCCAATTTTTGTCCTTTAGGGCCTCTTTGATCACTAGGTTCACCTGAACTAGTAAAGCAGGAGTATTTAACTGTGCCATCAGTATATACCTTTTCCTTGTGAATGTCACTTTGTAGCCTTGTTCTGGGACGGACCTGTTGTGGTTCCTGAGTCTCCATCTGTTGAACATGAGGCAGTATAGTGTCGGCATCGGGATTAATACCTGTGACATCAGTATCAATGTCATTCATGTCAAGTATTTCAACATCTGTTACAGGACTGCCCAACGTCTCTTCGCCCGTCGCTGTGCCTGTCATTGTGCCTGACTGCTGCCCCCTTGTCTCCTGATGCGGCGGTGGCCCCTGCAGAATAATGCGATCGGCGGCAGACGGATGCTGGTGCAGAGACGTGTCAGCACTGGACTGGCGGACAGGAGACGCGTCAGGCGTGCGCGCAGGGGAGCGGTGCACAGATCCGTCAGGGCGGGAGCAGGAATCATCATGGGAGTCAGCGCCAGGCGGATCTTCTTTGGCTGTTTGATCTGTTGCAGCATCTTGAGGAAAATTGTGAGACATATTAGGCGGATTAGCAGGTGGATTAGCCCATGAATGGAATACCTGTTCATCCCCACTAATAATATTAGGTGACAAGAGAGATAATTCAGACCGAAGACAAGCTCCTGCATTAGCATGGAGTTCAGAAAAAGGAAACACCGTTTCGTCAAAGACAACGTCACGAGAAATATAGACACGGCCTGAGGATATATCAAGACACTTGAAACCTTTGTGCATGTTGCTAAAACCAAGAAAAGCGCATCTAGTAGAGCGGAATTGAAACTTGTGTTTATTATAGGGACAAAGGTTTGGCCAACATGCACAACCAAAAATCCGTAGAGCGGAATAATCTGGTTTATGATGAAATATTTTTTCCAAAGGAGTAGTATTTTGGATAACTCTGCTAGGGACTCGATTAATTAGATAGGTGGCTGCCTGGAAGGCTTCATCCCAAAATTTCAATGGCATAAAGGCATGAGATAGTATAGAGAGGCCTACCTCAACTATGTGTCTATGTTTTCTTTCAGCAGACCCATTTTGTTGGTGTGTGTGAGGACATGACACATGATGAACTATGCCAATTTTAGAAAAAAAAAAGGAGTTTAGGGTTTGATATTCCCCTCCCCAGTCAGTTTGCATGGCTAGAATTTTCTTGTCAAGCAGCCGTTCTACCATAACCTGAAACTCCTGAAACTTTTCAAAGACTTGAGACTTATGCTGTAGCATATAGATCTAAGTAAATTTACTAAAATCATCAATGAAACTAACATAGTACTTCTTTCTCCCTACAGACTCTGGAGCAGGACCCCATACATCAAAGAAGACAAGCTCTAGAGGGTGTTGGGAGACACTAGATAAAACAGGAAATGGTAATTGATGACTCTTTGCTTGCTTACAAGCATTACAAACTGACTCATTTGACACATCTAAACATGAGAGATTATTTTTATTGACCACCTGTCTAACCACTGACGAGGAGGGATGACCTAGACGACTGTGCCACCGATGGAAGGAGATCTTGGCGGCATTGCAGGCATACTTCAAGGATGGCTTGGGAAGTGGATAGAGCCTGCAATGTGATCTTCCTCTAAGGAGCATTTTCTTGGTGACCAGATCCTTAAGATAAAAATAATCTCGATGAAGTTCAAGAAAAGCAGAGTTATTCTCAACTAGACGATGAACAGATATAAGATTTTTCTGAGCTTGAGGGACATATAGCACATTTTTAAGATGGATGTTGCGACTATTAGGGGTATGAACAACAGTATTACCAACATGGCTTATATCCATACCTGCACCGCTGGCAGTGTGAATCTGCTCATTCCCATTGTACTTGTCTTTCACCGTGAGTTTTTTCCAACTCACCGGTGATGTGATCTGTAGCGCCGATATCGATGTACCAATTGGTGTGATGCCATAGGAGGAGCTCGCTGCCGCAGCTGCTGCAACATGTTTGTTGTCAGGAACATAGTCTTCATCATACCTGTACCAGCAATCTGTGGCAGTGTGGCCTCGTTTGAAGCAGACTTGGCATGTTGGTCGGCGATCTGCAGCCCCTGGTGCTCGTCCACGCCCGCGGCCTCAGCGGCCTCCGGCATTGTTGCTGCGCCCGCGACCGCCTTGGGGAGCGCCTCCGCTGCTGCCGCGGCTGAAGTTGCCGCCACCGCGACCTCCTCCATTGCCGCCACCTCCACGGCTTGCAAGGTTGACGACGTTCTCCTGGGTTCCTCGGTAGAGTGCCATGCGACCCTCGAAATTAACAACCTGAGAGTATAGTTCTCCCACGGTCATTGGTTCGGGGCGTGCACACACTGCC